TATAGTCAATGTTTCCCGACTTGAAAGGTGATATGGGCTGGCTGGCAAGGGCGAGGTGTTGCGTGTGCGACGCGGCTATTTGGCGGCGAGCCAAAATTCAAATGTGGGAGACAATTTGGAAAGTTCGGCCGCCGCTTTTTTTATTTCCTTTATTCTTTTTTCTTTTTTTATTTTTTTACTAGAGTTTTTTTCGATTTTTTTGTTTTTATTTCCTCAATGTAATATTGTAAGCGCAAACCTTTTCAGTGTGTTTCGCATAGAAACTTTCTGAAACGTGTAGCGAAACGTGAATTATTTTCGGAAAACTTATCGCTGTTTTTGTTTCTTTCGTAAAAAATATGAATTTTTTCACTTGTGCATTCTGTCTCGTGAAAATTAGACTGTTTTCATCCATTGATGAATTTTTTCAGACCAAGCTAAGTACAAATGGACAGTTTCGAAAGCTCAGAAGTCCAGTGTTTCACGTCGACAAGAGGCTATTTTCAATAAATACAGGTCATGGTTTTTTCTCAAATTCATTCATCCTTTTTTTCTTTCATGCAGTGAAAATCTTCAGAAACAACGGTTTGCGAAGTGATGCGAGTTTTTTTTAAAATCAACAACAAGGAGTATATTGCGAATAGATGAGCCGGGTCATTAAAAAAAGGTTTTTTCATGGAGTCGGTTCCCTTCTGAATTTAAGGTTCTCAGGATTTATGCAGTGAAAGAGAAAGTAACGAGTCACGGACGATTAGCAAGGTTTGTGAGTTTTCCTCTTTGTTCTTTGTGGTTTAACTAATCTCCCAGTGTATAACTAAGAAACTAAGAAGTTTTAGTTAATACTTAGATTTTCCTGAAAAAGTTCGTAAATATATTATGTACGCCACGAAAATTTCTCATCAACGAACATGACATTTTTTTCAAGGTTCATAACCAAGCACTAATCTTTTTTTCTGTTCCTTCAGGTTTAAAGAACTACTTTTCAGGAAACATCATGGTCTCTCTTTTGTACTGCCTACATCAGCAACCTCACAATGTTTTGTTAACCTGTTTTTTCGTTTCGCTTTCCAATAAACTTGTTTAAAACGTCTTGAAATTGTTCTAACGAGAATAAATGGACGGAAAAAGAGAGTAATTAAGAATGAATGAAATCACGGAAACAGCGTTTCGATGCCGCTGAAGTGGACAATGGTTGAAGCCAGTGTTGGATGAACAACGAAAGTGCACGGGATACTCCAATAAAATAGCATAAACAAAATAATTAGAATACAAAATGTCTTCTAACGGCAACCTTTATTAAAGGATATTCTTGGAAAATAGAAATAGGTTGTCACAACGACTTTTTCTGAACCCTAAAAAATAGGACAAAAATAGACATATACAGGAAGTTTTCTTATTTGTGGAATTTGCTAATGCCGTTCATATCCAAGAAACCTCGCCTCGACAAAAAGTCCAGTGCCCCACGAAGGTATATAGTTATTCATTCTATAAAACTGCTTTTATATTGAGATGGTCCATTGCCTAACACTGGGTCTGTTTACTGTCAAAACCGAGTTGGTTCAAGAAGATGTAGCCTGCCAATATGATTGGTTTTTTTCAACGGAAAATGACGACCCAAACAGTTTCGAAAGTTCTACTGAACACGCCAACAGAGACGAACCCAGTTTACGTATCTAATTTTGAAGCTCAAGCGGAAAGACCAGTTCATCCTCGTCATTTGAGCGTGGTTTTTAAAAATGAACTCGAATTTTGTTAGGAAACATAGGAAGACTTCAAAATTTATACTCTTGGAAAAGTCCTCACGCAGTTGAAATTTTCCGATATCTCCGAACCTCTCTCTGAAGCAAACTCAACGAAAGCAGCCAATTTGCGTGGAGATGAAATCATCAGAAGCGTTTTCAGTTATCTTACCGCGTTGACTGAAAAGCTTGGTGAAACTGCCCAAGGAACCATCTTTAGCAGTCCTATTCTTGTGGCTTCTGCGATGACAGGTCTGAGCGAATCGACTATCCGACGAGTCGCGATCGACGGAATTGAGAGAAAACGCGAGCTTCGACGTGTTCGACTTTCGAGAAAAGAGTGCAAGGAACGAGCTCTTCGCCACCTGGACGCTTTTGATCAAGAAATAATCCAGCGTCATATATCTGATTGCTTCCGCAATCAGATACTTGTCACGACGGACAATATTCTTGAATGGTGCCAAAAGAACATTGACGGATGGTACATCTCCAGATCTACGTTGTTCAAATGTCTGAAAGCGATGGGTTACGTTCACAAAATATCTCGATTTGACCCCAAGCTGACTGAAAGAGGTGATCTCGTCGAATGGAGAGCAAATTTTTGTCTCGAAATTCAGGTTTAAGTTAAAAAAAATACTCACATCTTTTATTGAAATTAAGAAGCTTCGATCAGAAGGGGCGGTAGTCGCGTATTTCGATGAAACATGGCTCTATGCAGGGATGGTTCCCAAGACCAGCTGGCAACTTGCAACGCCAAAAACCTGGAAGCCATCAGCGACATCGACACGTGATGGTGCGCTCTGTCCTGGTCCGCCAGCTGGAAAAGCTCGCGGTGTTCGCGCCATTGTGCTCGCGACGTTAATGGAGGACGGAATCGTTTCTGGAACCGAGGAAGTCATACTCAGCAGCGGAAGGAGCGTGGACTTGGACGATGACTATCACAAGGATATGAACTCTCATAATTATTTCTTGTACGTCCAGCGTGTGGTCCCGCTGTTGATCGCCAAAGCCGCGGGAGCTCCTGTTGTTCTTGTTGTCGACAACGCAAGTTATCACAGCAAGCCTTTGGAGAAAGTAAAACTATTCATTTATAATCTAATTTAAAAAAAATTGAGATTCCCCAAAAAACGACAAAAAAAGCTGAAATCTGCGATTATCTAAAAGCAAAGGGAGTCACAGTGCCAACGAAGTCGAAGAAAGAAGCACTCCTCAAGCTTCTCGACGATTTCCTGGCCAAAAACGGCGGCAGGAACGCAGTGAAAAAATATGAGGTGGACGAATGGTGTCAATCGCAGGGCGTGAAGATCCTCCGTCTGCCACCATATCACTGCGTTCTCAACCCAATTGAGCTTTGTTGGAGCCAGTTGAAGAGGCATCTTCGCAACGAAGGAACGACTAACGACAAAGTCGATACAGTAAGATTTTTTTTTATACAAAAATGAACCAACTTGTAAATTTTCTGGTGCGTCTGAGAGCTTTACAATGGTTCAAAAGTTTGAAACCGGAAATGGCAGCGGCTTTTTTCCGCCACGTCAAAAACGTCGAGGACGAAGCCCTCGAGGAACTTTTCTGTCCCTCACGCAAGCCACCCGCAGTCCAAGTGAAGCCAGTGGTCGTCAGTGTTTCCCCTTCTTCTGACGAGGCCTTTTCCGAAGAATGGATTTTTTCGTCTGACGAGGCCAGCGATGAGCTTTGAGTTGATGTATTTATTGAACTTAAAACAAGATTTATTTTCAAACGTTTTGTATTTTTCATATTCCGCTATATTATTTATCAAATTTTCTTTTGATTCAATCTCTTTGAGCAATGGACCAATCAATTCGTTTATTAAATTTGAAAAATGAAGAAAATAAAAATCATAATGCAATGCAATATTTTAACCTTCATAAAAATTCGTCAGCCCATTCCAATAATTGTGTGAGAATTCATCGCCCAGGTTTCCATGACCAGCCTAGCTCCCGGTGGATGACAGCCTCATGACAAAATTAAAATATCAAAAAAACTGAATCAAATAAAAACTCACTTTATCTCGAGGTCTTCCCAGGATTGCACGTGAAAGTATCACAGAAAGATATAGATCATTGGAAAGAAGTACGTAATAATAAAGCTACAATTAATGGAGACATGTCAAAAATATCGAAAAAGTAGGCAAAACAAAAAAATTCATCAGAAATTTTTCTTCAAAAGTTTTAAAAATATCACTAGAACCAACCATCACATGGGCTTTTACTTTCGATGGATATTTTCTCCAACTTAGCTTCCAGATCCTATCTTTTTTTGTGAATCTTCCCAGTACAATCCTGAGTTATATTGATGCCACTTCACGAGTTTCTGAAAAAAATGAAAATGAGAAATTCCAACAAAATTGAAAAAAACTTGTTCGCCATCAACGCAGTGTAAACACCATAGCTTCTCCTTCGTTTTTTTCTCCTCGCGACCTGCAATTAATCATAATAGAGAAATTATAAAAATGTTAGAGGTTTAAAACTGAGAAGTTCAGCAAATACGAAAGAAACAAAAAACAGCGATAAGTTTTTCCGAAAATGATTCACGTTTCGCTACACGTTTCAGAAAGTTTCTATGCGAAACACACTGAAAAAGGTTTGCGCTTACAATATTACATTGAGGAAATAAAACAAAAATCGAAAAACTCTAGTAAAAATAAAAAGAAAAAGAATAAAGGAAATAAAAAAGCGGCGGCCGAACTTTCCAAATTGTCTCCCACATTTGAATTTTGGCTCGCCGCCAAATAGCCGCGTCGCACACGCAACACCTCGCCCTTGCCAGCCAGCCCATATCACCTTTCAAGTCGGGAAACATTGACTATAAAGATTCAG